CCCCCCCCCCCCCCCCCCCCCATCCCTACGTACTAGCACAGAGCTTGTGTTTGCAGAGCAACATCACCCAATTCTGCATCAAGGAGTGGGGAGACCACTGGGCTCCTCAGCCGTTTCCATTTGGCTGTCCGAGTTGTCCACGCGGTGACTGTAAACAGTGACACACACAGGCTGAGCACAGCCTTTTGCTGACCTTGCTTTTTTTATGACCATAGGAAATGTTACATTATTACATTCAAACAAACACCCTTGATTTCGTTACTCTAATTCTGAACACTGCAAACACAGTAGCAACGTAAGGTAGGACAGCAGCAAAATCACAGAGTGAGCCTAGCGCACTCTCATGGCAGAAAGAAATCCCGGAAGCAGCGACGGAAAGGAAGTGACTGTAAGTGAACACAAGCTGGAAGCTTCCATTTACACTAACCCACGAGAGAGGAAACCCCAACACTGTGTGGGTATGGGAGAGGTTTCAGGTGAGGCAGGCTCCCAGGTATGGCGACCGACGGTACAGCAGTGGGGCTGCCCAAGGCAAGGCCCCAGCGGGTCAGCCACCTGCCCTCGAACCCACTAGGGCAAGGAAGCACGATCATCGTCCTGGAGCAAAGATAAAATCAAGGGCTTGGCGCTCAGCAGCTGCAACATTCGGGTGCCACAAATCCACCATAAAGACCACACGAGGGCCCTCTTCAGGGGGACCTGCACAGAACACAAGAGCCCAGCCATGAGGCACCAGCAGCGTTCCCGGCGCTCAGACCACAGTGCTGCTCCATGCTGGCTGCAGGGACCGCCAGGGACACAGCTCCCCTGGCGCTCAGAACAGCAACCTGTCTGGACTTCATGCTGGCTGGGGTGTCAGCCTACTGCCCTCCTGCCTGCAACACAGAGCACCCAGGAAGCAGTGCAACTGTGCTCCCCAGTGTAACATAGAAGGTTCTGCTCCTGTTCCTTGAGCAACGCTAGCCAGTCTCTACCACAGGCTGCCCTTGGCCTGTCCTCCAGCCCAGACTTCTGAGAAGATTTTCAGCCAGAGGGAGCCCAAGAGCTTCAGGCAGATGAGCAGCTGTAACTGGGGTGACACAATCCCCTCCCCCCCACCTCCTCTTCCTCCACATCACATGGGTGGCAGGTGCAGCACCAGAGCCCCGCGTGGAGTGGACACAAAATCAGTATCCGCATCTGCAAAAATGAGCCACGGAGCTCCGCATCCGCACTCGTGGCTCCCACCTGCGGATTTGCAGGGCTCTGCTCAGCAGCCTGTACAACGCCCAGACACGGAACCACTGGGACCAGGAAGGGAAACTGTCTGTCCATGGAATGGCAGCAAGCGTCTGAACCAGGGGAACGTATTGATCCCTTTAGACAATGGCCAGAATACTGGGGGTGGGAGGAGGAGCATTTCCACTGAGGCTTTAACAGTGTCCCCCACTGGGCTCTGTGTCCAATCCAGTTCTACTAAAAGGCACAGTAGTTGTTGACTACTGGCCAGGCTCTCATCTGATGCTCTCCCCACAGCAGCACCATGCCTCCTACCCCAGGTTGTGCAATTGGTTCCGCACTAACTAGGTGAGACAGACGCCCGCTACCAAGTCTCCAGCCACACAGCAACTGTCCTTGGATGGTTTCCTGCCCAACACTGTGCAAAAAAGCCCCGATCGCCATTTTAGCCATCGGGGCTTTTTTGCGCAAAACAGTCCTGTGCTGCCTACACTGGCCCTCTTGCGCAAATGATTTGTGCAAGAGGGCTTTTGCCAGAACGGGAGCAGCATAGCACTTCCGCAAGAAGCACTGATTTCTTACAATAGGAAATGCAGACAGCTGGCAAGTTTTTCCGCAAAAGCAGTTGATTTTGCGGAAAAACTTGCCAGTCTAGACACAACCCAACTGTCCTTGGAGGGTTTCCTGCCCAACACTGAGTGCATCTGGCACTGCTTGGCATGCAAATCCCAAGATTCACTTTTGTCTCTTTCCCAGAACCCTTTGGCAATCTCCCAGGGGGGCAGGAAGAGCTGGTTTCTGAGTGCTCTAGCAGTTCTTGCTCACCCATTCCTGCAATATACTCCCCTAAGTAAAACGGCCTGGCAGCAGCTGTCATCCCATCAATGACTCATCCATATTAAGTCAGCAGAACGCCCAAAAGGGAAACAGCAGCCCAGCCCAACCCAAGTGAAAGGAAAGGGACATAAAACAAGTACCGGGTGCCCATCCTTTCCCCTGGGCTGTAAGCAGCATGGGGCACATCAGCCAGGCCCAGGGGTGGTCCGTCCATATAGGCGAACTAGGCGGTCGCCTAGGGCGCCAAGTTAAATGGGGCTCCAAATGGTGGTGCAATATCATTGAGGGGTTTGGAGGTGGGGGCGCTGATTGCAGGGTTCGCCTAGGGCGCCAGTTGCTGGCAGCTAGTCTAGGGCCGCCCCTGGCCAGGCCACAGCAAAGGACAGAGAGCTGCCCCCCAGGACCCTGCCTGAGTTCCAGACCAAAGTCAGAGAGTAGGCCTCAGAGCACACCTGACCCACAGAGGAGGAATGGGTT